TCCCAAACAATCATAAATTCCTTCGGATCATTGGGGTGGATAAACAGATGGCCGGTTAGATGGGGTGGGGGGTGTACAGAAACAGGTGTCCAAACAGGTGTCCATTTATGGTAGGAGGAGGGGGGTTTATGAGGGGCAATAAATCAAATTTTTTGCCATATAGTAGCCTATACTCTCTCTGTGGTGCACTGTTCACAAAACCTTGGATAAATCTACAGTGAAGTAATTTACACTTCAGGCTTTTCAATCCTACACTTGGCTATAATGGAGTATTATTTTAATTGCTTAAACATGTTCAGATCTTACTGTGATGGACTGATCGTCCATCCAGGCTGTTTCCCTGCCTTCACCCTGGGATGCTGGATCCCTGCAATTCTACATAGTACAAGTTGTTTAGAGAATGGATGGATTCAGATCTTACTGTGTGATCAAAGGGAACGCAACTTAATGTTTGGTTTCAAAACGATTATAAATTGCTTTCCATTTCTGGTTCCAGGTTGTTATTACCGTTGCCATAGCAAGTGCATGAATCTTATCAACAAACCATGTGTGAGGTCAAAGGTCAGCCATCAGTCTGAGTATGAACTCAGCATCTGTCCTGAAGTCGGTTTAGACAAACAGGACTACAGATGTGCTGAGTGTCGGACACCCATCTCTTTAAGTAAGTCTCTTTCCAAACAGGCATCACATCTTCTATTGCTTTTCCAACATTTATCTATGTCGCTGATGATGACACAAATGTAAACAGAGGTTTATTTTGTTTGTTTTGTTTTTGTTTAATAAATTCTTTGTCGTTATTGTCAGAATTTTTTGATTCAGTGTTGTATGATTGCTCTATAATGGGAAAAAATGGTGAGTTAACTTTGATATTTAGAATTCCCTTGCATAGGAAGTTGTATAACGTTGTCATATATTGTGTAGGGGGTGTTCCTAATGAGGCACGGCAGTGTGATTATACGGGCCAGTATTACTGCAACAGCTGCCACTGGAATGACACAGCCATTATTCCAGCTAGAGTCATACACAACTGGGCGTTTGAGCCCCGTAAGGTACAGTAACACTGAATCCTAGTGAGCTACCATGTTGTCTAATGTCTACATAAAAAAATGGGGAAGTCGTGGCCTAATGGTTAGAGAGTCGGACTCGTAACCCAAAGGTTGCGGGTTCGAGTCTCGTACCGGCAGGGATTGTAGGTGGGGGGAGTGAATGTACAGGGCTCTATCCACCTTCAATACCATGACTGAGGTGCCCTTGAGCAAGGCACCGAACCCCCAACTGCTCCCCGGGCGCCGCAGCATAAATGGCTGCCCACTGCTCTGGGTGTGTGTTCACAGTGTGTGTGTGTTCACTGCTGTGTGTGTGCACTTAGGATGGAATAAATGCAGAGCACTAATTCCTAGTATGGGTTACCATACTTGGCCACATGTCACGTCACTTTCACTTTCACTTAAAGGCCCCACGTTTTTTTCTCCATTTCTGTCACCGATGGAGTTTTGGTTCCGTGCCACTCTCGCCTTTGGCTTGCTTAGTTGGGGGCATTTAATTTCTGGCAATATTGTCGACTTGATTGCACAGATACTATCTGACCTGGACGATGACTTGACCTGGTTACTTGACTTGACTTGACTCACAGCGAAGTTAGGGGTATGATGTTAGCAAAGATCCCAACGCTGCCGAGAGCAGTGTTTAGATGAATATGTAAATATGTGCTGCATGCTTTCCTCTCAATAAAAAAAAAACACAACAAAAATTACATCAATGGAAAAACAAGTTAAGAAAGCATCTGATCATAGCGATGTGGATATGCTTGCACAAGGTCTGCTATTCGGCACTTCAGTCAAGTAAAGTCACATTTATTTATATAGCACTTTATACAAAATATTTAAAACCAAAGAGCTTTACAGTATTAAACATGAAAAAAACAGTGCCATAGTTGATTTCAATTAGAATTACAACTTCAATTTCTACTATTAAGCAGCTCTCCAGTGTTTATGGTTTAGCCCCAGATACAGATCCCCTGTAAAGACCTTGTCTCAGACGACCACCGGGACAAGACCACAGGAACCAGATGTGTCCTCTGCACAATGTGACTTTGCTGCAGCCTGAAATTGAACTGCTG